GGCCCCAAAGCGCAAAGGATAGCTCCTGAGTGCAAGGCAGCAATACAAAGCGCATCTGCTCGCAGACATTCCTGGCCTCGCTCATCGTATTCCCACAAGCAGAGAGTTCACAGAACACCAGGTAACCAGGTAATGAGACTAAGAGGACAGCCTCCTCTGTAGAATCATTTTAAAATAAAATTCACAACAATCCAGTAAAGCAAACATTCAAGAAGAAAATCCAACCACACAGAGGCGAAGATCAAGGAAAACATGCAGATTTCTATAGTTCGTTTCTTTTTTGAAGACTACACTCGTCTTGTAAACATACTCGAGAAAGATATTGTATATGAAGCATATAATCTGAAAACTGATCTCATCAAAATTTTATCCTACTTGAAATCTTTTTGTTTTCAATTATAAGCAGGAGTTTTTATATATAAGGATACGATAAATATAATAACATGATTAGAACAGATTATTCTCCTATATATAATTATTGCTAATTTTTATATGAAAATACTTTTAAATCTACTATTTCTGGTAAAGTAACAGGAATTTTTTAGAGTAATGAAATTTCTGCCATTCAGAAAAAAAGACTGTGAACCAAACAATTATGAAAATGGTTTAAATTCTGCAGAATGGGATATAATGCCATGAAGATGCTTAAGACAGAGGCTACAGGGATGTGAATGTACCTCTTTCATTGTGTTCCTGAGCTTAGCACTGCAGATTTCATATTTGCCTTTGGTAACAGTGACCAAAGGCATTCACTTTGTTAAAGCACAATGTGTAGAATGAATAAGGGAAGAGAAAAATTACTATGGGTACATGTCTTCAGTTTTTACAACCTTTGAAATAAAACTAAGAAACAATCTGACAGTTCTGACAGCTACCCAGATTTGAGAAGTACATGAATTTCATATTTTTGGATGTATTATTATAACTACTATATAAATTATTTTGTTACTTATAAGGTAAATTACTCTCAAAAAGAAATGAGAGGTAATTTTCCTACATACATGTGTCTTTTCTGCCTCAAAAATAGATGTGGGGACAGTCTTCGACTTTTAGTCACAGCAAAAAAAAAATGTAATTATCAAACTTTA